GGTTTAAACATCCCTGACTTTAACCAGATTCATGAAGAAATTTGATTCTCAGTAACAAAAGAGCAAAATTGATGTACAAAAAATATCACAATACATGACATTGAAATGCTGTTTTATTATTTTCATTTGTTTAATAAATACACTGGCATGATACAACTTAGTATGTTTGATTGCTTTTTGAGATATGTATTTTGGAGTTGTAGCCCCCCCTGGAGAAAAATCCACCAGCCGCCACTGAGCACAGGTTTGTCAGGAACACACTACTACATTGTGTTTTTTGAATACCAATGTTTTTTTTTTTCATGTGTTTGACTGAAAATAACATTTGTGGTCTTGCTGTGTTGATCGTGAACTTTTATTTTTCTAGCCATCTTGTGTTTGACAGTTTCATAGCAATGGGTAGAGCAGTATTTTATGCCCTGATTCAATTGACCTACACTCAAAAGCCCAGGGTATATGCCCTTTGTTGAGGGCCTAAGATGAGCTTTTATGATAGACTGTGCCACTGTGWTATTGTTGTTTGGTCGGGTGCTGTCTTGAGAATACAAAGAAATTACAGCAGCTGTTACAAGCTTGTTCAAAGGTTTTGTACTCTTCTTTCTTTKTTTATTTTTGTAAACTAAATCTAAAKGACCATGTGTTATCAGTGAGTATAAGTTTGGTACGAGTTTAAAAAAAAAAAGGAACTAAACTAGAAAGGAAACGTCAGATATCTGGGAAGCTGTCAGTACAATGTTTTTTTTTTTCTTTCTACCAAACAGATATTCTAAAATACTATCGATTCCTTTTTGGCCTCTTTTTGGTCTCGCTTTCCTCCATTTTTAATACTCCCTGACTCAAAAGCTTCATGTGAACAGAAGGTAAACAAGGTMACAGCAAACTGAGGCTATATTGGAACTGGTATATCAGCTGAACAGACTTATCCACTCCAAAAAACCCCAATGTCATACAATTTCCAAGACCTATATGTMCAACATCAAAACCCTATTTTTCTGACCCTCACACTGCATTGACATTGGTACAAAACATTCCTGGGTCATGGTAACCAGAACCTTTCTCTCAGCTATTCTGAATATTTTTATGTATTTCTTATCTGAATAGGTTTTGACTTTCTATACAAATAAATCTTCCYTAGTTCTGCTTGGTAAATTCTTGAACAAGTGCTCATTGGTGTCTTCATATTTCTGGGACTTTTGACATTTTCATACAAAAAAGATCAGTAATTAAAAAAATAATAATGTGAAGGGCCTCAAATCATTTTTGTCCCAAGGCTACRATTAAACACCCCTGGCTCCACCGTTGCACCTTGTAATTTTTTTCCTTCAACAGGATTAGTCAGTGAGGGAGATGGAATAGAGATATTCTATGTGAATAGATAGAATGGCTCCTTACAATGCACAATACAAACTGAGTTGCAGACAGTAAAGAGCCATTTGTAGTTTTTATTTTATTTTTTTGTTGATTTTTATTACTCCTCGTTAGTTTTTTCCTTCTTAACCACAGATGCAATCGCTTCTCTTTCACATTTTGACAGAAAACACGCAAAGTGGTGGAGRACAACAGCTCGAGAAAGCAGGAAGAAGACTCTGCTTGACAAAACACATGGTACCACCCACGTGACAGTCAGGTAATGACATACTGTATCTACCTACTTGCAGTGTTGTATAAAGTACCACAAAGTGATACTTGGGTAAAAGTACAAGTACAGTATCTTACCAAAGCACAGCGGATCAGTGGTTAGCACCAACGCCCCACAGCAAGAAGGTCCTGGGTTCGATCCCGATGTCTTTCTGTGCAGAGTTTGCATGTTCTCCTCGTGCTTGCGTGGGTTTTCTCTGGGTACTCTGGTTTCCCCCACCCCACAAAACATGTACAATAGGTTGCCTTCAGACCCAGGCTCTATTGAAAAAGAGATCTGAGATTTCAGTGGGACTTGCCTGGTAAAACAACAGTAAATAAAAAAAAAAAATACTTGAGTACTTTGTTTTTGCTTTTCACCACTTGACAAGAGACCAGGTATAATTACAAGCACCGCATTTCAGAAGCTTATGAGCACCATCTCGTGAAATTAGCAAAGAGAGTTGGTATTTACAATTTTAATTTAGAGTTCACTCCAGGGGCAATTTTTGCTCCTTTTTGAGGGTGCTCAAGCACTCAGCAGCACCTGAAAATAAACAATCACTATTCTTTGGAAGTCCATCCATTTTCTGTACACGCTTCTTCCTTTTCAGGGTTGCGTGGGTCACTGGTGCCCATATCCAGTAGTGACAGTGCGAGGGGCGGGGTACACCCTGGACAGGTCGCAAGTCCATCACAGGGCCACACATAGAGACAAACGAGACAAACAACCATTCACTCTCTCACTCACACCTAGGGWCAATTTAGAGTTATCAYTTAACCTAACAGRCATGTTTTTGATCTGTGGGAGGAAGCCGGAGTACCCGGAGAGAACATGCAATCCCTACCCAGAAAGGTCCCCCGACTGGGATTTGAACCAGTGACCTTCTTGCTGAGAGGCATCAGCTCTACCAACTGAGCCACCGTGCCGCATTCTTTGGAAGTTTTGTTCTCAACCTCAAATTCTTCAAAACTTAAATCTTGAATAATTTTGCCACTAGAAGAGTGCACATCTCCATCAGTTACGCAGTGATATGTATCCAGCAAGGTTATACAATTAAAAATGAAAGTATTTTTCCAGTTTTGAACACATCAGACGAGTTGTAGCTGTGGTCTCCTCCTGCACCTCAGCTGCTCCGTTAGGTAAGAACTTTCACTGAACGAATGACCAATTTTCCTGACAAATACATTGTTCCATAAGGATTTTACACTTTTTTTTCTGGTTATAGCTCATTTAGTCTATAGAACAGTCCCTGGCTCCTCAGGGTTATGAAGGCAACAAGTTCTATGGGTTTCTCAGCCTGCTTTGGTACTACATAGGGCCTAAGGTGTTATATGGTGCAAAGGATTTGTTGTGATGAAAGTATCATGATGCAGTCAAGACTAACTCACCGTGCTCAGTGTGTAGAAGATAATGGACAAAGTTCAGGTTATTCATGTGTTTTATTAATCGTATGAATTTAGGAAAAACGTTCTTCAAGTGGCTGGTAAATGCATAACTGTGAGTCGACTTTAAGGGAATTGCAGTGATGCATAGTTTGTGACATAAATAAAAAAACAAATTCAACTGGTGATCAAAAAGGCTTTTAATTAACGAGAAAATACAGATTATTACAGGATTATGTCACATTTGAAGCTGTGGGATGATAAATATTAGTGTTCCTCTTTCTTTGGAGGAAAAAAGGTGTACTCAACAGCCAGAGCAACAGTAAAAGCAACAAAGCCCCATTTAAATCCTTTCAGCAACACATCTGCAAAAGTTATTTTACGAGCGAAGCGACCAGAGAATCTCCATGCCTCGTTGCTGTGGACAGAGAGGGAAAAGTGTCAGAAAGATTTCTCTGCTCCAAAACGATGTCAGCTCGATCACATCTGAACAAATCCTGACCGTGCCCACGGGTCCTTCAGGCCCCTGGCTGCCAGCCTCTGCTGGTTGATCTCCAGCGGCGTTCCCTCCACTTTCCACTGTCGCCAGTCAGGCATGGACATCTTGCCGTGTCCGTGATCACCGCCCATCCTGAACAAACAAAAACAATCAGGTCAGCAATAGTTTTATAATCAATTTCAAAATAGTATCAAACATAACAATTTCTTTTTTAAAATATACAATACAGATCCTTATGACCACCACCAAAAAAGTGGAGACTCTTTTTTTCTAACTTGAATTTTAGTTTAATAAAAGCTGAAGCTCAGATCTACTTTGTAAATATAATTATTATGTAAAGGTTGTCTATCAGAAAAACTGATTGCATAAAAGCTAGAACAAGCAACCAGCTAAAAACACATAAAACCTTTAATATCCTTGAGTCTTAAAGGAGTGTTTGTAGACTTGAAACCTTTGCTTCTGTTAGACAGTAAACATGGCTTTAATAAGACAGCTGTCAGTTCAAACAATACAGAATTAAAAACAGAAAGAAACACAAAAACATCTTCAACCAAGTAATGAAACAGTGTGATAAATGGKGTGGGTTATCTCAAAATGCTGTCTACATTTTGGAGCAATTGTTGATAAAATATGAAGGCTGTAAATGAGAATCAGATTAATGTCAAACAAAACTTAGAAAGATTCCCATGGTCTTGGACAGTAGACYGCTATAAACTCTGAAGAGATGGTAGTTATTTACTGTAAAAGCACTGGTGTACAATACATTTTGAACACTTTTCTCATTCAGCTACGAAGGGATGGTTTTGTAAAAATGACTTATTTTTCAGGTTAAGAGCAGAGTTTCTTTTAAAAGGAAAGTCAAAACAATGCTCAACAAAACAATCTGAATTTYATTTAAAAAGAAAAAAATGTCATCGAGGCTCCTCTCTGCAAAGCTCAGCTGCTAATAAAGTAAATTACAACTTAATTCTTAATTTAAAAAAAGTTTAGACAAGTAAAATCATCCATGTTTCAGAGCAAGCTGCCAGGAAAGACGGGAGTGTACCAAATAACTGTTTGATCATTGTTTATTATACATAATTTCACTGTTTATCCTGATCTTGAGCTAATTAAAACTAATGAACCACATTTAGCTTATTATTAAAGAATGCGTTTATATTTGACTGTGATTGTCAATAAAAATTGGTACGTTTTCATGTGAAATTGTGTTTCTACATAAGAAAAGTGCATTAAACATATTTGATAACTTGTGTATTAAACATTCGCTGTTCTGTTAAATTGGTTAGTTACATTTTTTGGTTTTAAAACAAGCATATTTTCAAACTACAATTGTCACGTCGATAAAACAACAAGCATTAGCATACTYGCTAACACCATCGCAGTGTTTTGCTTATAAAAAAACGACCTATTCAATTTTACCACTTGCTTTTATTCACAGCTGCCTTTGTAAAAAAAATAATCTGACCAGAAATCATGACAGTGGAAGAAAATTAATACAACGTTTAGTTTTATAGACATTACTATACCTGAGTAGTTTGTTGTGACCTCTGCAGCCGGAAGTCTGCGACAATAAATCACGCTTTACGGCAGAAATACGGTAACCACTTAGGCCAAAATACATTCTAATACCCAATATTAAGCGCATTAAAAGTTGTTCTGAAACACCAACTTTTGCCGTATAGAAATGATTCCTAAGAATATAAAAACAACTCAAAAAAACTGCTAGAAGCATATCCTATTATTAACTGCTCTAAAAGATACAAATAAGTCCAAATAGATTAAAAATCTAATGGTTATTGAGTTATCGTGCACATATTAGGCCAGTTATATTTCAAGTTACCACAGAAAGTTTGAGTCATAAATCTTTGCCACACTGTCAATTCACAAGTCAGAACAAATGTAGTGAATTATTTGTAAACTTATGAAACTGTAGTGTCTTTTTGTGTTTAACTTGTACATTTTCCCTACTTTTAAAGACACGCTGGACAAAATGAAATTATTTTGTATTAAACATTAATCGTTTATTAAATAAGATAWGTTTGCATTCACAGACATACATAAAAAACAAATACTGTCGTGTAATCAATTTCTTTATTCTGATATAAAATTGTGGAAAAACCTCAAATTAATGGTACATCACACAAAAAAGGGACTTTTTTGGTATATGCAAAAGTGAAACAATTTTACACATCGTTAGGGGAAGGTGTGCATTTTTTTCTGACAACCATTTAAAATGTGCTGTTTATTGTTATTAATGCATGTTCCTATACAATAATTTTTGTGCTCTGCATTTCAACCATCACACGTGAGATACACTCAAGTGGGCAGTTGTTTGGGCACCTGAGGAGCTGGTGGGGGTTATGTGTCTTGCTCAACGACACCACATGTGAGCATGGTGAGGAATTCAACCATAGCCTTTCTGGTCCCAAGTTGGCTGTCCTAACTGCCTCGTTTATGTGATAAGAATAAAAAATAAATAAAAAAGCTGAAGCTGTGTACCTGGTTAACTGACAAAGTTGAATCTAAGTTTGAGTGTTTCTGTAATAAAACTGCCTTAAAGAAAAGTCTAAACAGTTTGAAAACAGAAGACTTATTCATTAAACTGCAATTTCTTTAGTTTTCTTATTCATTCACTTTGGAGTCTTTATTAGAAAAGCACTGCAGAGTGCTGGCTTCGACCGGCTGCTGAACCTTCAGACCACTCAGTGGCTTTCACCCTGGTTGTAGAATGGTGGACGAGATGTTTACCTTTGCAGAGCCGAGCCAAAAGGCAAAGTTCTTGATTTACTGATCTATGTTCCAACCCTCACCTGTGGTCAAAAGATATGGATCATGGCGCAAAGAACAAGATCCTGCATGCTAGCAGCTGAAATGAGCTTCAGCTGCGGAGTTGGTTGCTTTCTCTGGGGAATTTTACAGGAAGGAGACCCCATGGCAGACCCAGAACTCAGAGATTATATTTCCTCTCTGGCCTGGAAAGACTGGGATTTCCCAGGAGGAGCTGGAAAGTCTCACTGGTGGACGTCTGAGTTTCCTTCAAGGATCTGTTTTCTCCACAACATCACCACTGATAAGTGGTAGACGATGGTTGGATGGATGAATAGATGAAGCGTGATTAAAATGTACTGAATGTWATCTTGCTAAGACAGACATTGAATTAAAAACTGTGAATAACAAATCACTAGCTACACATGTTGCTATTAAATACATACAATTTGTACACATTTTTTACAGTGATTTAAAATCTACAAACAGAGAACCACACAGCTGCTGTTTTGTCTCTGTGAAGGTACAGCTGTATTTCTGCACATTACAGAGGCAAATTAAAGTTTGCTTTGTGGGTTGAGCAGTTCCTTCAGAGCATCCAGGTTCTCCCCCTCTGGAGCTTCAGGCCATTCTTTGTGATCTGGACATGGACACATACAAAGTAAATCACAGTGAAGTACAGGGTTCTGTCTGAACAATGAAAAGACCCAAGTCCAGCCGGGTTAGAAAAGTGTACAAACCAGGTATCTCCCACATAGCATGGTACAGACTCTGTCCTGCGTCCACCTTCAGTGTTGCACCAGAGATGTAGGAGGCACCAGGAGAGAGCAGGAAACACACGGCTGAGGAAATCTGAGTAAATAAACAAAATGTTTTAGTCATATGATTTCTTTTGATTTGATGGGATTTATTAGATTGTGGCACTTAAAATCAGTAAACTGAATTTCAACACATTGGTTAAATCTCATTTTAATTTAGTGAACACCATCAGTGCAGCGAAGTCAAACACGACGGACAAGTTAAAGTGGAAAACAATGAAACTACAAAACAGATGCAGTTTATATACAGCGGGTAAAATAAGTATTGAATACGTCACCATTTTTCTGAGTAAATATATTACTAGAGGTGCTAATGACATGAAATTTTCACCAGATGTTGGTGACAACCCAAGTGATCCATACATKCAAAGAAATCAAACCATAAATGAGCAGGTACGTTTGTTTCAAAGAAAACAATAAGTAAGGCACTGAACCACCATGGCCTGTATGCACGCTCACCACGCAAGACTCCACTGCTGAAGAAACAGCATGTTGAAGCTCCTTTAAAG